ATTTCCATTTTTGGAGAGGATATAGGATCTACACAGCCAATAAAAAGTTCAGCAACTAAGTGACTTGCACTATAGTATTTTCCCCAGATTTCGTAGAACTTGGAACAAAGTTCATCAATGTTGTATATAACTTATTTTAATTGATTGTGAAATATCATCTATGAGATTGTTGTAATCTAAGTTATGCCTGTAAACGACTTGGGAAAAATTATAATTTATTTTTTTTGAATTTTTTGAGTGAATCTATACTATTTACTCTCTTGTATTCATCCATGATATCTCAGAAGAAGCAGGGTGGGCTTTGTTGACTCGATTGACAAATTGAAGCATGCCATCTATGTTCATTTGTAAATAACATATATGATGGTTTTTTCATCTTTGTCAAATTGATGAACATGATATGATAAAGTGATCTGTAACATAAATTTTCATTAGATTCAATTTAATCATTGCTATATATGAAATTAAATTATACATACAAGATAGCTTCCCAATCTGATGAAAATTGGAAACCTTCACCACTTTCCAGTTTGTCAATATTAGTTATTTGATACTGATGAAAAGCATTCGAAACATTGTATAGATCAATAATCCACTAAAATAAGAAAATAAATGAATACAATAATCAGCACATAAAAACGTCTGTGAAATCAGAATGGTCAACTTACATCTTTTTGTGAATTATGATCATAGACTTACTGACACATATTAAGATATGCATCACACAACATGTTTTTGCTAACAAGATCTTCATTCTATGTATAAAGAAGTTGGTCATTACAATGACTGAAATTGTACAGAAAATCAATGTGAAAAAATCAACCTTTCCATGTAGAATTTTCTTGTATTCAATTGATTCAATTGTAGATTGTTCATTGACAGTGTCCTCAGCAATGCTAGTTACACCAGTTGTTTTTGAATCATTTGTTTTTTCATCTGTTACCACTTCAGTTTCCATTAAACGCAGTTTTTTCAACATATGCAAATTTAGTTCATCAATGAGCACATCTGTGATTTATGCTTGACAATAATCTTGAAAGCTGGGAATGAGTATTTGATATAATTAAAGTATAAACAAGTATT